AAAAAAAAAAAAAAAAAAAAAATCCAGGATATGAGGGAGGAAATTAACAAAGGGATTAATAGCTTAAAAATAATGTAGCATTTTAATATAGGTGTTTACAAGTAAAAATTTTTCTCTAAGCACTGCATGAGCCCTGCATTCTACAAATTTTAATATGTTGAACTTTGGGGTCGGGGGGGGGGGCCCTAACTGGATAGGACTGGTGTCCTTATATAAGAAGAGTAAGAGACACCAGAGGGCTCGCTCTGTGTATGTGTGCATGTGCCCAGAGAAAAGACTATGTAAGGATGGAACAAGAAGGTGCACTGTGAAAGTTGAGGAGAGGAGAGAGGCCTCACCAGAAACCTGTTGGTACCTTGATCTTAGACTTCCAGCCTCTAAAACTGTGAAAAAATAAATTTGTCATTTAAGCCACCCAATCTGCAGCATTTTGTTATGACAGCCCTAGCCAACTAATATAGAACTATATAGGACAAATGTTTGCTTGTGAAAGAAGAGATTAAGTATATACAGTTTACCCTTAAACAGAGTGGGGGTTAGAAACATTCCTCACTCGCCCTCACAGTCGAAAACCCATATATAACTTTTGACTTCCCCAAAATTTAACTATTTTTTAAGTAACTACTTCCTTAAGTAGTAGTTGAATTACTGAAAGCTTACTAACAACCTACTGTTAAGTGGGCTACTGTTTGGTCAGGAATGTCATGAATTCATTTACTGAAAAAGCTCCATGTATAAGCAGACCTGTGCAGTTCAAACCCATGTTGTTCACGGGTCAACTGTATACAAAAATATATACATATATTTATAACAAAAAGCAAAAGCACTTTAAGGGCCGGCCCGGTGGCGCACTGGAGAGTGCGCCGCTTGAGAGCGCAGTGGCGCTCCTGCCGAGGGCTCGGATCCCATGTGGGGACCGGTTCCCGCTCACTGGCTGAGCGAGGTGCGGGCGCAACACCGAGGGTTGCGATCCTGTTGCCAGTCCCCGATACGGGCGTGACACCGAGGGTTGCGATATCGTTACCGGTCAGTAAAAAAGACAAAAAGGAAAAAAAAAAGCACTTTAAGATATTTAAATAACAGTACTAATACATGGATAAGAGAACTAAAGAAGTAAAAAAAATGACAATATTAGAAAAAATTACAGTAAAAAGCACAAAGATTCACTAATGAATGAAAGGAGAAATCAAACTACAGCTCTGAAATTACAAATTAAATCTAAAAATAAAAGTATTATTGGGTGTTTATAAAAATTCCATTATATGTAACATTTTTATAGTTATCTACTGCACACACACCCACACAAAATACACTTGTACTTCAATGTACATCCAAATTAACTGCTGGATACAAGGTCATACTAAGAAATAGAAATGAAGATAAATATACAATGCTCTGTATTAACCTCTGATGCTTAGACATCTGGGGCCTTATGTTTCTGGAGAAAATGTCCCCCCAACACCCCCACTGGGGGGGGGGCTAGCCAATTCCTAGACATAGTCTCTGTGGGCATGCCTTTCCTATGCAAACCAACCAATCCAGAGCCCACCCCCACCCCCCACCTCCTCTACACTCACACTCAGGGCCACTACTCCCTAGTCCTTACCACCCCAGGGCAAGGTACCAGACAACTAGGGACAACCCTTGTGCCCTAGAGCCCACTGAAATTATTCAAACTAGCCAATCCTAAACTTCCTTACCCTGGCTTTCCTGTTCCTTCCCAAAGAAACCACAATAAAGGCTCTTGCCCATGTTTCTCCCTGTTCCCTCTGCTTTGTGACCCACCCTGGTGCTTCTCCATGTAGCCTCCATGGCATTGCATACCCCTTCCTCTTGAGAACTGTGAGTAACAAAGGATCTTTTTAACAGCTCTCTTCATCTATTGGCCTCACCATACCTGAATAATAATAAAATCTACATTTTTTTTTTTTTAAATTTTTTTCCCTTTTTTTTTGTCTTTTTTCGTGTCTGGCAACGGACCGCAACCCTCAGTGTCGCGCCCGTACTGGACCAGGACCGGCAACGGGATCGCAACCCTCGGTGCTGCGCCCACCCCTCGCTCAGCCAGTGAGTGGGAACCGGTCTGTATGTGGGATCCGAACCCTCGGCGGGAGCGCCGTCGCACTCCCAAGCGGCGCACTGTAGCAGTGCGCCACCGGGCCGGCCCCTAAAATCTACATTTTAAAACACTGCCTTGGATTACCCAGTTAACAAATGTACAGACATTTAAAAAAATACATTAACAGCTACACAGAAAACTTTAAAATATTGATGGATAACATCTCACGAATCTTACTCTCTTGAAGGTTGAGTGGAGGATTAATGAGATTATCTAAAGTTCGAGGTCCATGTTCAGATTGTGGTGCTGAAAATCCAGGGATTAAGCATGAAAACATCCAAAGCTGTTCTTTGCTACAGTTATTCTGAAGAGCTTGCAACCATAATAAGAAAAGACGAACACCTTCCCGCCTAATCTAAAATAAAATAGAATACAACGAAAACAGTATTTTTATTTATAAATGGAAACACTTTTTTTAAGAACAGAGATCTCCTGAAAATGATTACAGAATGACACTTTGCAAAAGAAATTAAGGGAGATGGGAGAGGATAAGGGACAGCTACTTTGGCTTTTTACTGTTATCTAAGCACCTAAACAATACCCCGTACATAGAAAACAAATATTTGAATCAATGAATGAAGGTTCTTCCAGCAAGGGAGCAGGAAAAGAGAGAGAGAGGAAAATTCAATCTCTGACGAGCAAAATACAATGTTCTTCACTAATCTAACCTCACTGGTAGCTTTGGAAATTACCCCATCAAAGCTTTGTTAATGGGTACTGTCAAAGCTATTTAACTGCTGCCACTTTCATGGTTTAACCAGATAACAGGAGAAAGATATAGGAGAAAAATATTCCTTTGTACTATTGGACCCAAGCCTTGATGCCAAAAGTACCTATAATATGTGACTTTACCTAACACACAGCACGATGCTTGTAGAATGGGTAGATTCTCTTAACACAGCTCAATGATATAAAAAATAATAATAATAATAATTTTTTTTATATATCCCCTACTTTCCTCTCTACAACTAGTGGCATGTATGTTCTACCCAGTTTTTTAAAAGTCATAGAGAATAAATATAGTTATATTATACCTTTAAGGAGTTTCCTGTGTGTAGTAGTTTCTTTAAAATCAATCCTGGAAAAAAAAATATGATTTTAAATATTCACATCTTATCTATTTTTAAATGTCAGAGTTCTCGGTCAGACTTGAAAACACTTTTAAACAAGTCCTTGGCAACCTCCAAATTGTTCTTGGTGACTTTGACATCCCTCTGGCCACATTGGAGACCAGAGCAACATATAAAAAAATCACCTTTTCACCACATGGTTTATTGCAATTAATCATGATTTATTTAACTGACAAACCTAGGCCCCAAATTGCATTTAACCCAACAATCTATTGTGTATCTCTTATATCAACTAAGAATATAATTTAAAAAAATACTTTCTCTATCACTAATACAAATAAAACCCACTGTAGAAAATTTTCATTTAGTTAACCACATGAACATCCATAACTCTAATACTTAATAACAAATATTTCCATCACACTAATTTCTTTTCATGTCTCGAAAAGTCATCAACATTCTTTTTTTCTTTTAAAATATGAAATATTTCAAACCCACAATAAAATACTAAAAATAACATTAACGAAGACCTAGAGGCCACTAATCAATTTGAATAAATCTAAACCCAAATAATTTTCTTCCTTTCTTCCTCCAGAGGAAACCATTATTCAGATTTTGGTATTAATCATTTCTAAAAATATTTTTATATTATTACTACTTATTTATAAATCCATAAAAAATTTAGAATTGGTTTATGTATTTAAAACCCTTTATAGATGGTATCATACAAAACAAGCCATTTGTAAGTTGCTTTTCATATCTAACATTAGCTTCTGAAGTTTATCTATACTGATCTATGTAGCTCTAGTTAATTCTTTTTAACTGGTATATACTATTTCATTCCATAAATATACCACAATTTATATTAGGACATTTGGTTTGTTTTCAAATTTTGATATTACCAAGAATACCATAATAAATATTCTTTTCATAATTGCTTGTACAGATGTGAGGTTCCCCAGAATATATTATATAAGCAAGAAATTACTTACTTTCAACTTTACCAAATATTGGGAAATTCTCTCCAAAGCAGTTGTGACAATTAACAGTATAATCAGCTGCATATGGAACTGCTCTGATACCACATTGTTGGCAGCACAAAACACTGACAGATGCTCTACTATTTGACAATCTGATGAGTGTTAAATATCTGAATATTGTTTCCATTTGATGTTTCCTAGTGACATCGAACATCTTTTCATTTGGCCATTCAAATCGCTGCAAATTGCCTGTCATGTCCTTTATACATTTTTCAAATGGGTTCTCTTTTTTAAAAAAAAAAAAAATGAGTTTCTTATATATACTGACTACTAATTCTATGCCAATTCTATGAATTGGAAATATTTTCTCCCAAATATCTCAGTCATGTTTTTGTTGTTGAGTGGGATGGTACTAAAGAAATCCTTCCATACCTTAAAGTTACAAAGATAAGCCAAATATTCTCTTTAAGTAGGTTTAAAATGTTGCTTTTCACATTTAGGTCCTGAAATCCACCAGAATTTATTTCTGTGTGTGGGAGGAATAGAATTTGTTTTCTTCCAAATGGACAGCCAATTGTAGTACTAACTCTTTCAGGGTTTATAATGTTCAAATAAACTGAAATGTAATTGTTACCATATTTCAAGTTTCCATATATAAGCCTAGGTCTTCGGCTGACCTCAATGTTATTTTCACTAATCTTTCTTTAATCTTTTTCAGGTCCAGTCCTGCACCAATAACACTGTCTTTATTATTATAACTTTATAATATATCTTGTTATTGGGTATGGAAATAACCAACACAATCACCCTCCTTCTCTGATTTGTTATCCTTCCAAATGCTTTGGCATTGATTTTCCATATACATTTTAAGATAAACTTGCCGGGATACATTAAAAAATCCCTACAAGAATTTTAAGAAAGATTTATTATCTTTATAATATCAAGTCATGAATACTGAACAAGATTCCATTTACTCAAGTCCTTTCTTGCTCTTCAATAATTATATTACTGCCATACATTAATCTAATATTTTTAATGACTACAGAATTCTTTGCAAGCACACTGGAACATTCTCCAAGAGAGAATGTTCTGGGCCAGAAAATACCTTGATAACTTTAAAAAGACTACAGTCATGTAGAGTTTGTTTTCTGACACAAAGGATTAAGTCAGAAATTACAAAAGAAAGAAATCTATGGAAACAGCAAATATTTGAAAATTTTTAAAATAAAAACACTTAAATAACCTACGGGTCAAAGAAGAAACCAAAAGGGACATTTAAAAATATTTTCAATTTGTGCCCATAAAAGGAGGAAATTTTATGTCACATGATGACACCTCAGGTACCTTCACTTAAAAAGAAATTGACATATAATAAGGGTTGAAAGAATTGTGTATGTCATTAACATAGAGCTTGATCAATTATGATACAGGGAAAAATGCATTCATCATTCATGCTGGGAAAGAGAGCTCAGTGTATAGTCAAGTCATTGTCCTCATTTTCCTTAATGCTACTCTTTTCTTCCTCCTTAAGGCAACTAGGTACTATAATATCAAAGTTAGCCAATGTTTGAACTTTATATAAATAAAATTATATGACATGTAAAAAAACCCCCAAAAATATTTTAAACTAAATAGTAATTAAAACACAATATATTAACATATATACGATAGAGCTAAAGCAAAGCTTACAGGGACATTTATAGTTTTAAATGCCTCTATCAAAAAACAAGAAAGGCATCAAATTAATATCCTATGCTTACATTTTTAAAAACTAGAAATGGGACAGCAAATCAAACCCAAAGCAAGCAGATTGTTTTTATAAAATATAAAAGTCTACAATGGAAATTAATGAAATAGAAAGCAGAAAAAGTATAGAGAAAAATCAATGATACCAAAAGTTAGTTCTTTGAAATGATCAACAAATATGACAAATGCTTAGCCAGACTGGCCAGTAAAGTGAGAGAAGACACAAATTACCAAAATCAGGAATTAAAGAGGAGACATCAGTACCGACCCTATAGGAATTAAAAGGATTGTTACAAGGGAATAACCTGAACAGCTTTATACCAATGAATTAGACAACCTAGATGAAACAGACAAATGCCTAGAGAAAAAAAATTATCAAAACTGACACAAAGAGAAATATAAAATCTGAAAAACCTGTAACAAGAAATTGAAGCAATAATTAGAAAAGTCTAGGTTCAAGTAGCTTTGCTTTTGAATCTTATCAGATACTTAAAGAAGAAAAATATTACCACTCATTCACAAACTCTTTCAGAAAATAGAGGAGAGACAACTTCCCAACTTATCTATGAGGCTATGGTTATCTTGGTATTAAAGCCAGATAAAGACATGACAAGAAAATTACAGAGAAATATCCTTCATAAACACAGAGGCAAAAATCTTTAACAGAATATTAGCCAAGTGAATTCAGCAACATATAAAAAGGACTATAAATGGCAACTGAAAGAGATTTACCTCAGGGATGGAAGAGTGATTTAACACTTGAAAATCAATTAGTGAAATTTATAATATTAATAGAATAAATAACAAAGCCACCAATGACACTGACAATGATCATAATAACAGATTCAGAGAAAAGCATCTGACAAAATACAATGCACATTCATGATTAAAAACTCTCAAAAACTAAGAATAGAAGAGAGCTTCCTCAACATGATAAAGAGCACCTACAAAAACACTATAGTTAACATCATACATAATGGTGAAAGACTGACTGCTTTCTCCCTAAAATCAGGAATATCGTAAGGAAGTCTGCTGTTGTCACTTTTACTCAACATTGCACTGAAGCTATAATAAACAAAACAGAAAGAAAGAAGAAACGAAAGGTACCAGATTAGAAATAAAAAATTAACTGCCTTAATTTGCAGATGACATATTCCTATAGCAGAAAATCCAAAGGAATCTATAATAAAACAAATAGAAAACAAGTTACATAATATACTACAAACAATACAAATGTCTATTAATTGGTGAGCAGATAAACAAAACATGGTATATCCATACAAAAGAATACTATGCAGCAATAAAAAGGAATACTGATATATGCTATAACACAAACAACAAAAAATTATGGTAAGTAAAAGAAGCCAGATACAAATTACTATAAATTGGATGATTTCACTCATATGGAACATCCGAAAAAGACAAATTGATTCAGGACAGAAAGCAGACTGGTGGTGGAAACAGGAATTGACTATAAATGGGCTTGAAAGAATATTTCTGGCTGATGAAGATGCTTAAATCTGGATTGTAGTGACTATATCTATTTACTAAAAATCATTGAATTGGTTATTTATATGGGGAAATTTTATCTATGTAAATTAAACCTCAATAATGCTAGTTTTAAAAAATCACCTAGAGTCATTGATTTATTTTTCCTTATGCATGTAGTGGATTGAATTATGTTCCCCAAAACTCAGAGGCTTGAATTGTGTTCCCCAAGTTTTTTATATATTAGAAACTTGGTCCCCTCTGTGACTGCTAAGAGGGTGAGAAATTCTATATGGTAACTGAAAGGTGGAGCGTTGAAGAGGTGATTAGATTTTAGGACCATGACATAGGAATGGATTAAAAATAGTGGTCAGGGGATGGTTCTGAGAGCTTTAAAAGAAGAAAGAGGAGAGTCTGTCTTTCTCTGTCGTTAGCTCTCTGCTCTCTCTCTGCTTGCACCATCTTGCAATGTGAAACCACTGGGTCACTGTTGCCACCACCAAGGCTCTCAGCAAATGTGTTACCTGGACTTTGTACTTCTCAGCCTCAGAAACTGTAAGCAATAAATTTTGTTCTCTTTATAAATCACCCAGTTTCAAGTATTTTGTTATAAGCAACAGAAATGGATTAACACAATCCACAAGATAAAAAAGAAAGGAAACAGAGTATAGGATTCTTCTGAGAGACAAAGAAAAAATGACCATTTATGTATTTTCTCAACTTACAAATGTTTATTGAAATACTGATAATCATGACAAATAGGTAACCTACAGGTCCATTGGAGATTAAAGGCTACATTACTCAGGAGATATAATAAATCTCTTAAGTTCATGTGTTTCAAAAAAAGGTTTCTTCATAGACCACTTTCAAGGACATTTTTACAATTATGAAATACAAAATAGGTTTTCACTCTTCTATTGAACACCTTTATCATGTGTTTATTCGCAATTCACGTCTTCTTTGGTGTAATGTCTATTCAAATCTTTTGCCTATTTTAAAAACTGACTTGTTTATTTTCTGACTTTATTGTGCTGTAAGAGTTCTTTACATATTATGGATTACATCATCTTTTGTCTCAAACTCTACCTAAAGAATTTATTCTAAAAGGCTTTACTATTTAGGATTTTGTCTTTTTTTAGCTGTTGCATCAATGTCCAGAATCCTTCTTGTTCCTGGAATTGATAACTGGGATGGCCTACCATTTCAAAGCCTCAGAGAAGATCTCAATTTATAGAACTGATTAGGAAAATTAGGGCCTAAATAAATCTATGACTCTCTTTTTTAAGAGAAACAAATACAGCTTTATAAATGAATATAAGGTCTATAACATTCTACTTTAATGATGTAGATCTAGTGGCTGAAAATTCCCCATGAGAAAAGGGGCATGAGAATTGCTAGCAATCAACCCTGACAACACTAAAACACAGAACCAAAGCCAACAACTGCCTACCCGCAGACTCTTTTTTAATCTGAAGGGGGAAAATAAGTCTTATAATGAGAGCTTGAGAGCCCTGTGGTGACAATGATTGTTGCAGAACCAGACTCGAAGTCAGCAATCATTTTGGCTTAGTTCCTGATAACGGAAAATCTGCAACCTTCTGCCTACTTGGTCTCTGAGAGTAATCCACAGCAGGGTTTTACTTTTCTTTCAGCTCTGTTTCATGAGCTGAGCAGCCTTTTTTTGGCCTTTCAAGCAGTAAGCTTAACCCCAGTCCCACCACTCTCTGGCCTTTTTTTTTGTGGAGCAAACTGCCAGTTCACACTGCTTGCTTTCAAATCTGGAGCCCACAGCTTCCGTTCTAATTGGCACACTGCATTTCTCTTCCACTTCTGATCCAAAGAGATATTTATCTTGATGCTGAGTCCCATTTTTGTTGTTTTATAGTTTTATCATCATTGCTAATATATTCGGAGTAAAGGAAGAGTGGATCAAAAAAACTTACTATGCTATTTTGACCAAAAAGCCTTCATCTATAATCTTTTTTATATTCTCTGTCAATTTGTTCCTGTATACTTTATTTTGTTTTACTAAAGCATAAACTATGAATTCATTTCAAATAACTAGCAGCCCATTAAAGAATGTACTATCACTTATTTCAAATGTGAAATGAATATTTAAGCTACTTACCAATACTATGAAACTGCCATCGCTGATGAATTCTTTCTGGAAGAAGTTGTAAAATTTTCTAAAAATCAATATGAATAAGACAAAGAAAAGAATGAAAAGCAAGTAATGAGTCCACATCCTGTGAAATGTGAAAAATGAAAGAAAGGGTTTACTAAGTCTTAAGAGTTTCATGTGTAAGAGATAGTATTACAAATACAATATAGTCTTTGCGCTAATGTGATAGTACTGGCATTATTTCAGCAATGTCATGTTGATCAATATTTGAAAACCCCCCAAAACAATAAGCAATACTAACAAAGACTCGGAAGAGGAAATTAACAAAAGTTATCTTTATACTAACATAAAAAGTAAGTGTATTTCTCCCTAATGATTAAATAGTAATTCCATTTCAAAATGTTTATTCACTATTCCTAGAATCTCTGTATTGTTAACATCACTGATAAGTTTTCAGTTATTTCAGACAGTATTATTTTTGATATTTTCTCTTTCTTTGAGTGGTTCTTTCTCCTGTTTTGATAAACCTAAGGAAAATATTTTGATTTCATGAAAATCCCACCAAATACCTCATTCATGTGAACCCAGAGGTACTGAGAAGCTATGATGTACGTAAGTGTGATAGCAAAATTAAAAAATTTAGGAGCGCTATAGTTAAGCTAACATATGTAGGTTTCCATTGGTAGGGAATAAACACTTTCTTATGTATAATGTTCAAAGTTTTGCCTTTTATTTCCTTTACTATTGTACCTGTGTGGATGACTCCGTATCAACAGCTACCTTACTGCTGAACTATGCTCTCAGTACTCATCCCCTTGCTGAATGACATTCGTGTGTATTTGGTGTTACTGCAGCTCTTTATTATTATTTAGTAGCACCACTAATTGAATGCTCATAGGGCCAAACACTAAACTAGCCACTTTATATATCAGTCTCTCATTAATCCTTGCAAACATCCCAAAAGGAGGGTTTATTATTCTCACTTGACAAATGAAGAAATGGGTTAAATAATGTGCTTAGGTTAGGAAGCTAGAAAGTAGAAGAACAGAGATTTCAACCTCAATATGCCTATTTCCCAAACCTATGCCTTTATACTATTTTAATTGAAAGATGGTATGCATATTTTATACTTCTCTACCTTTCCCTTGATACACCCTTCTTTAGTCTACCCCATATAAGAAAATGATAAAGAAATTATAAAGTTCTTTAGAGATAAATGCTGGTCCCACATGAGATATATAAACTTCTTTACCTGCGCCATATTTTTAACATTATATAATGATGCTTTTTATTTCAGAAAGATGAAATCATTTTATGATAAATCCCCTAGGCATATAACAGTTACATAAATATAACCTTTCAGGCAAGAATGTTTTGGGGTTAAAAAATAATTCTCCACTTGTATAAACCTTCCATGAATTAAAATTTTCATTGTTTACATACACACTGAATAGCAAACTAATTTTGTGTTGTCAAATGCCTTAAAACATAATCTGTGCTAAAAATAATACATTATATCTCAAAAACTACAGAATTAGCCAGGTATATTTTTAGGTTAAAAAATCTGATTTAGCTCTTGGAAAGGCTAGCAGGTTCACAGTGTTTCATTATGTGCTTTATAATTTCAATATATTCCTTTGTATGTTCCAAGAATTATTTTTGATAAAAAGAAAAAAAATTAGATTCACAGGCACTTACCTCAAAAATAAAAAGTATAGCATCCAATTCCTCCCTTTGAGACTTGTGACCTAAAACATTTTTACAGAAAAATATTTTAAACATATCATTTTGTCCTCATTGTTAACATTCACTTAAAAAGCTTAAAATATTTGAAGCATTTCATTTTTTTCCCCCAAATTATTTAGTAAAATATTTAAAGCATGGGCCGGCCCGGTGGCGCACTGGATAGTGCGCCGCTTGGGAAGCGCAGCGGCGCTCCTGCCCGAGGGTTCGGATCCCACATACAGACCGGTTCCCGCTCACTGGCTGAGCGAGGCATGGGGGCGACGCTGAGGGTTGCAATCCCGTTGCCGGTCCCCGGCCCGGTGCGGGGGCAACACTGAGGGTTGCGATCCGTTGCCGGACACGGAAAAAGACAAAAGACAAAAAAAAAAAAAATTTAAAGCATGTTCTATTCATTGTGTAGACAATATCATGGCATCTTTGTCTACTCTCTTGAGTAGTTAAATTTAGGCTCTACATATTTATGTCTAAAAAGAAATTGCAATATACTGTGGAGAACTTTAAACGAGGTCTGAATAAGAAAATACGAAAATTACTGCTCATACTTGATACATGTCCCTAAGGCAGAACAAAGAAGGTGAGATGAGGAAATCTGAACAGGGAAAAAGGAAATCTTTAAAGTCTTTGCAAAGTAAGGACATTAATATTAATCCATTAGCTGTCTTTCAAATACATGTCATTAGACCTATGACAATAGTGTGAGAGGGTATCAAAAAGATGTCTGATAAAAAGAAATTAAATAAGAAGAAAATTCTAATGTCCAAAGGCCTCTTTTTAAGTTAATATTCATGACAACTGTTGGAAATACCAACATAAGCCAGAATAGATGTTAACATCTTACCTTTCTGTTTAAGACTAGCTTCAATAGTCACAAAATTTTCAAAGAACACATAGTATATATGTGAAAACTGTTGGTCAAAAAACTGTTTAAGATCAATAGATTCTGCATTCTCTGAAAAATAAACAAAAAGTTTTCAGTGATTACTATTTACATATATGTGAAATCATGTTTAGCAAATATTTATAATGCCAAGTTTCCTTCAAAGGAAACTTGAAGAACTTTTCCTAAAATTCTATCCTATTAAAATATTTGAGATATGTACTTATATATCTATATCCTTGTTCTCACAACTGTAGTATTTAGATTTTAGTTTTAATTTTAAAAGCTGGTCAAGTTAACATAATCTTTGTTTCTTAAAAGAAAACAATGCTTCAGAGATTTATTCAAAAATTAACCATACCAAAAAAAGAAAGTAAGATGTACTTTCAATTCACAGATACAGCTTTCCTAATTTCTCCCCAAGACAGTTCAAAAATCAGTGTTTCTAAGAATAATTGATGATGTCTGAAATGCATTTATTCAGTAAATAGGTATCTAACAATAGGCTTTGTAAATAGGCATTTAAGGATTACAGAGTTTAGGGACACTTATTCTATTTCATGGAATGCTGTGTTGCCTAATTCAAGAATCACACAATAAAGCCAATTGAGATCTTTAACAAAATTTATTGTATTTTGCCCTTGACAGTTTGGCATCCATGAAGGGACCTGAAGGAGTCTGCTGATGACTCCTGAGACCCCTTGAGAAATGCAGAAAAGGTGCCACTAACCCCCTCTTTTGGGGGACCACTGTCTTCCGCATGGAGCCCCAAGAGCTCTAAGCTCCTCTCAGGTCTGAGCAACTGCTCTCTTTTGCATTTGAGCTCCCTGATCTCTTTGGCTTTTGGGGTACCAAGGGTTAGTTTGTGCTATGAGAAAACATTTGACCTTCGGGTACCAGGGATTAGTTTGTGCTGTGGCAGGGAACATGACCTTTGGGGTTTGTAGCTGACTATTCACTGGCAAAAAGACTGCTGTTTTAAAGGTAACTGACAGCAGTTACAGTAAGGTTATTACTGCAGAGGTGTAAATTCTTGCTTTCAGAATTCACAGGGATAAGTTTTCTCCTCTTCATTTCTTCTCCTTTGAGCTGAGTTAAGAAACATCATTGGCTAAGTTGGTCAAGGAGATCTCAGAGCCAAAGCTATCTTGGCTCTGAGAAAACCAAGATCCAATGTAAGAATGTGTTGGGAAAATAGAATAATTTAATCAAGGGCCATCCTGTGGCTCACTCGGGAGAGTGCGGTGCTGATAACACCAAGGCCACAGGTTCGGATCCCACATAGGGATGGCCGGTTAGCTCGCTGAGTGAGCGTGGTGCTGACAACACCAGGTCAAGGGTTAAGATCCCCTTACCGGTCATCTTTAAAAAAAAAAAAAAAGAATAATTTAATCAAGTCTCCTTGCCTAAGGCACGGTTTGGGATGGTGTGGGTGGAGTTAGCACCGTGCGCAGTGCTGTGACTTGGCTGGCAGCTGCCACACATGGCCATGCTTTCCAACCTGCGGCTTCCAAGGACCTTTTTGCCAGTTACCTAGCTCATAGACCTGCATGTGAGGGGTCTGGGGACCCAGCCTGGCATGTGAAGGGATTGTTACCCAGTCTGTGAGCTCCAGACTCAGCCCTAGCTCTACGCTTGTCCCAGTCGGCAGGTTTAGAGAGAACCCAACAGAATGGGATCCTAATTTCTAAAGATCTGAGTACTCTGCCTTCTGGTAGGCCTGCCTTTTTCATGTATGAGAATTATGGCCCCTACTGTGGACTGCATGTACCCCCAAAATTCATTGAAGCTTAATCCCCATTCTAACAGACTTAAGAAAGTGGGAAATCTGACTACGGCATTTGAAAGGTGGGACCTTTAAGAGGTGATTGGGTCATGAAGACTTGCCCTCGTGAACAGATTCATTCATTTATGGTTATCAGGAGTGGTTCTCATGGCTTTATAAGGAGAACAAGTAAGTATGTGAACTCTGTTGCTCATGATATTCCTGGCATACAATAGATACCCTGGTAGCCACAAGACACTGTAGAGTTCCCACCAAAAAGGCCCTCACCAAATGCATCCCCCAGACCATGGACTTCCCAGCCTCCAAAACTGTAAGAAATAAATTTCATTTCTTTATGAGTTATCCAGTTTCAGATATTCTGTCATAAGCAACAGAAACAGGACTAATACAGTCCTGGAAGCTGCAAATATTTACAAATGGCAAAAATCTTACTAAAAATAATTCAGAATTATGATGGCCATTATGTAGAATGTTCCAAATGAATATCACTGCACTTTAAGACTGATCTTTTTATTGCCTCTCTTTTTTAATTGTCTCTTTAAAAGGATGTTCACAGAAGACCAAATAAAAAGCCTAGGCTACTAATTGATGAGAAAATTAAATCTACCAAGCTTTTTGATTAGCTACTATCCCAACCTGAAGACAAAAAGAAAGCTAAAGTATTTATAAGGGTTAGGCCCTCCAGTGAAGCAGGCAAAGAAAATGCTTTGTTTGCTTTATTAGTTATAGGGCTCTGCCCTGAAGTAAAAAATCTAATTCAGCAATGAGCTAAGTTGAAGAGACTGCCTATGGAACTAAATTGGTGTCCAAAATAAAACTTTCTGACACTTAGCTGGCTATTTTAGAATTCTATGTAAAAGGAAATTTACATCTATAAAGAAATCTCCTTTTGTAAAGACATCTTCCTCCCTGTACCTAAATAAACCACTAGAAACTTTTGCAATGGGGAAGACATTGACTTAAAGTTTACATAAGAAACCTCACCTTTGTTTAAATTGTTTTTTCTGGCCATCTTGTCTCATTTGGGTCTTTACCTATGCCTTTCTTTGGGCAAATAATACTGTGTAGATCTAAGTTCTGTAAATTGTCTACCTTGTTTTGTCTGGGAGTCATCCCTTTGGAAGTACAAATTTAGAGTTTCTGGCTAGCAGTTGCTTGGGGCAATGGAAAGAGTTGGGCAACCGAAGGATTGATAGTTTAATTGGGTACTAGGGGAGAAACTACTTAAAAACTGGCAAGTGAAGAATCTTAAAGCTGTAAGATCAGCTTCTGTCTGTGTGTCCATATGTCAGTATGTCCATGTGTATTATGTATGATTATTTCCCTACCAAAATATATGAAAGAGCTCTAATTAACTGGCTTAAAAAAAAGCAAGCACTTAAATCAAGTATTTTATTTTAAAAAGGGAAAAGAACCTAACTCAAATGCTTTCTAGTTCATGCAACTTGGGCAAGACTAGTTTACTATTTTGGGGTTAATAAAAATAGCTGGATCTTCTGATCAGAAAAACTCCTATTACTTTAGGGTTCTTGCTTAGGTGGTGACTGCCTAACCATTCACATGCTGTAAAAATGGTTAACAGGAAAATTGAGACAATGATTCGTTTTGTTCAATGTCTCATAGAATTTCCATGAACAGTTTAAGCACAGTTCAAAATATGTATACTAGGTATAACTTTATAAATGAACTATTCATAGTCTAAAAAATCTTTTTGGTAACTAAAACTTATAAGGTGATGTTAAGTCGTTTCTAAATAAATTAAAATACTAAAACATTAATTATTAAACAAGTTTAAAGTTTATACACATTGACCTCTTTTTTTTAATATGGCAGAGAAAAGCTATATACATTTGGGTCTGCTATTAAACATGAAAAAAATTGTTCTATGAATAAGTACATGTTTCTAGAAATTGAGAAATGTAGACTCATAAAATGTTGGTATGTGACTGTTAGGAAAATAGAACAATTTAATCAGGCCCTCTTGCCTTGGGCCCAGTTGGGGATGGTACAGCATTCTTTGTAAGCAAGCTGTGTGTGGGTAGAATTAGCATACATGCAAGGTGCGACCACCTTGGCTGGTGTCTGTCTGCCTTGGGTGTTGGCCTGGCACGCAGCCATGTTTTCCAACCTACGGTTTCCAAGGACCTGTTTGCCAGTTACCTAGCTCATAGACCTGTGTGTGAGGGGTCTGGTGACCCGGCCTGGTGTGTGAGGGGTCTAGTGACCCAGCCTGGCATGTGAGGAGTCTGGTGACCCAATCAGGACAACGGGCTTGAGGGTCTGTAAGCTCACCCAGCCCTAGCCGGCAATTGGCCCAGTTGGCAGGATTACAGGCAGGTAAAAGAGCTCGACAATTGGAGTCATCAGCAGGATTCCGACAGTAGCTGCAGTGCCAAAACTGGTGTAGTCAGTGCAGGATGCCGACATTAGCCAGTAGCCAGACAATTGGTGTAGTCTGCAACAGGATTCTGAGCAGGTACAGGAGCCGGAAGCCCTTGGAAAAATGAAGAAATGTGGCTACTTTTGAATATGCTCTGCCCTATGGCCACATTCCTGTTGACCAGGATCTGGTTGCTACTCACTGTACTGCAAGGCAGCATAAACCAGGCACTATAAAGGAAAAACCCTTGGGAGGGGGAGGAAATGTGGCTATCCTTGAGCATGTGGTGCCTGGTGGCCAGATTTTTTTTTTTTTTTTTAATATGTAGAAAAATTTATTTTTTATTTTTTTTTCTATTAAGAAAAGTCATTTTTATTTTTTTATTTTTTGAATTTTTATTTTGTCAATATACAATGTAGTTGATTGTTATGTCCCATCACCGAAACCTCCCTCCCTCCTCGCTCTCCCCCCTCCCACCCAAGTGTGTCCCCTCCATTTGCTTGTTGTAAGAACTTCAAAAAAAAATTGTGGTTGTTATATTTTCCTCTCCCCCGCCCCAGTTTTTTGTTTTGTTTTGTTTTGTTTGTGTGTGTGTGTGTGTGTGTGTGTGTGTATGTGTGTGAATTGATTCATTCACCTGTAGCTCCCTCCAATAAGTGAGAACATGTGGTATTTCTTTTTCTCTGCCTGACTCGTATCACTTAATATTATTCTCTCAAGGTCCATCCATGTTGTTGCAAATGGCAGTATTTCATTCGTTTTTATAGCTGAGTAGTATTCCATTGTGTAGATATACCACATTTTCCGTATCCACTCATCCGATGATGGACATTTGGGCTGATTCCAGCTCTTGGCTATTGTGAAGAGTGCTGCAATGAACATTGGGAAACAAGTATACCTTCGACT